TACAGCTTTAGCACCTGGTTCTCAACATGATAATCACTATGATTTGTTGCAGGATAGCCTACAAAGCAATGTTAGTTCACTGACTGATCAAGTGGGCCAGCTGACCAAGTCAGTCCAGAGCCTCAAAACAGAACAAGAGGAACTGTCAGGCTGCATAAATTCTCTCAGAGAGCAGCAGAGAGAAGTGACTCTGTCAGTTCAAACACAGACAGAAGTGAAGCAGCAGTTAACTCGGACAGTTTGGGGACTGAAGGAGGAGAAAGACCGCATCTCTCAATCTCTGGCTGGTCTCAAACAAGAGAGAGAGCAGCTAACCAGGGCAGTCTGTGGGCTAAAAGATGAGAGAGACCAGTTTATAAGGTCTATGAGTGGCCTAAAAGAGGAGAAAGAGCAGCTAACTAAGTCTGTATCTGGTCTCAAAAGAGAAAATGAGAAACTGTCAGAATCTCTCTCAAGTGGAAAAGAAGAGGGAGATCAAATCATGCAGTCACTAGAAAGTTTACAGACAGAGAATGACCAGTTAAGCCAGGCAGTGCTCGGTTTGAAACAGGAGAGAAACAAACTAACCAATTCCCTTAAGTGTCTGAAGCAACAGAGAGACAAGGAACAATCATCTTACACTTCACAAGAAGACTGTGACAAGTTGATAAAATCAGTTAGCAGTTTGAAAGAAGAAAAAGAAAGAATTGAACTCTCAATCAGTTGTTTGAAACAGGAAGAAGAGCAGATACATCTATTACTCCAGGGCCTAAGAGAGGAAGGAAACAGACACAAAGCTGGTCTGTCCGGCCAAACACAAACAGAGGGCAGGAATCATAAACTGCCTATGCTGAATCTGAACAGTGCCATTATTGGGACGGGAGGATGTGCTACACAAAGATGTCAGACTAGTGACCACAGAGGAAACTCTGTACAGGTACGAGGAGATAGATATCCTTTAAGCATTATGGCTCATTGTATGACATTATGTTGGATTACTGTGTACTTAAACATCATGGTTTTAATGGAAAACAGGAGCAAAGTGATCTGATGAGGGAGATTGAAGCCTTGGGAGCAGAACTAAAGAGGTCAAAAGGCGAACTGGACAAGAGCCATGTAGATGTGAGTTTACACTTCCTCTTTTTTTCATTAACATTTGTGGACATTTGTTGTAGTAGAATGTAAGATTAACTAGATGCTCTGTTGATTAAACTATAGTATTTGTAAATAGTAGTTGGACCAAAACAGTCCCAACTCAAGGTCCATTTACTAGCTTTAGGTTGACAGAAAACTCAATAGAAGTTGAGTTGGGATTGTTTTGTCGCACTATTACCTCCAAGGTTGATTTAAGTCCTTGTTGATTTGACAAGAACTAGTTACTGGTGGTAACAACAAATTCTGTTTAATACAAACAGTCCCAGAATTCTGGGGGCAAAACAAAACTATTGTT